TCTTAAAGCAGTACTGTGAACACCAGAACAGAATGCACTTCTTTATATCTTTCTTGATGGCTTCAAAACTAAGGATGATTCTTGGATATAATGTGGGAACATATGACAAAAGTAATCTTCTGAATAGAAATATTTTATTTTATTTTTTGGTACCAGGGATTGAACTCAGAGGCACTTGACCACTGAGTCACATCCCCAGACCTATTTTGTATTTTTATTTAGAGACAGGATCTCACTAAGTTGCTTAGTGCCTCTCTTTTGCTGAGGCTGACTTTGAATTGTGATCCTCCTGCCTCAGCCTCTTGAGCCGCTGGTATTACATGAGTGTGCCACGGCACCCAGCTGAAATATTTTATTTTGATGTACTATAATTATATTGTGGAATTTCCATGGATTAGAAGGTAATATTAGTGTAATATTGTGTACTTTAGATCTTATAATATTGATTTACTGAGTGTCAAGTTATAATAATCCTTAACATTTTTCAGTAAACAAAAGGGATATTGTCAGTGAGGCTGCTTCCTAAATGATAATATATACCAATACATCAGGTTTTACACTGTTGGTCCCTCCAATAAAGACTTAGTAATGAAGCAAGCAATCAGGGGTCCTTATGCCTCTGGAATTAATTGCTCCTTAATGAAGCTGAAGACACCCCTCTTTATAAGAAACATGTTATTAATTTGTAGAGTTCCTTTCTCCTTCTTTCCTTCCTTCCTTCCCATCCTTCATCTCTCCCTCCCTTTCTCCCTTCTTTCCTTCCTTGAAAGACAGTACTCCTGAAATCCCAGCTATTTGGGAGACAGAGGCAAGAATGATTTCAAATTGGAAGCTAGCCTAAGCTGTTTAGCAAAGCCCTTGTTCAATCCTAAGTACCATGTATGGAAGGAAAGAGAAAGGGGCAGGTGGGGAGGGAAGAAAGGAAGGAAGGAACAAAGAAAGAAGAAGAAAGGAAGGAAGGAGGGTAGGAAGAAAAGAAAGAATTCCGGATCTAGTCCTGGCATGAGCATGGCAGTATGGTTTACTAGAAGAAGGAGGCTGCAATAGTACAGAAAAGAAAAGTTCACAGCCAGATAGATGGGTTCAATCTCATCTCCACCTGTAATTAGTGTTATGCCCATGGGCAAACTTACTTTCAGAATTTCTATCCCTCATTAGTAAACTTGGGATAATTTACCCACTGAAGATTTTAACAGGGTAAGAGCACCAGACATGCTGCCTGGTACATGTGAGAGATTCAATAAATTATCATAATTATAAAAAGTAATCCATTGGTCAAAGGGAAATTACATAAGGGGGGGATGAGCAAAAAACACACCATCCATGTGAATTCTAGGCAGATTGGAGAAATAGACACTCTTACCACCCCCCACTCCCCTTCTGTTTCACGACACACTTCACAGTGAATGATTCTGTGCTCTGTGAGGTAGCTCTGCTCTGGTGCCTTTTCTGAAACTCTCCTTTACTTTCCAGTCTCTTTTCTTCCTCCTGAAATTGTGTTCTGACATTAAGAGAACCCCACCATCAAAAGTCATTTAAACTCATATACATTAAAGAAGTTGAAGCTAAACATAGAAAACTAAAGTGGATGTGCACAAACACAGATGGCATATATTATTAGTAACAAATTTTAAGAATTACCTGAGAAGCAGGTGGAGAATTACTCATCCAAAATTGCCTTGCAACCAGAGGCTCATGCCCTACATTTCTCAGATGGTTCACTGTTGGGATTTATGAACATCGATGGGAAGATTCTTAAATTCCTGATATTTTACACAAACTTTTGTGTGTGTGTGTGCACATCTTTCTGGTGGAGAGGGTCTATGACTTTTGTTAGATTGCTAAAGTAGTGTTTGGCCTCACAAATTTTCAGAAGTATGGATTGCTTCTCTAGAGTATAAAATGATGTCAGCACTTTCAAGAGCATACTYGAGAGCCTTGTTACTTTAAGCATAGTCCTCAGGGAGTATCAGCAGCAATTCCAGGAATGTGTGAGAAATGCACAATCTCAGGTTTACTGAAAGAGAAGCTGGCTTTGAACACTGATTTTCGGGTGATTCACGTACATGTTAAAATTTGAGAAAAGTACTACTGCAGCTATGAAGGGATCAGGCTCTATCTTCTGAATTTGTCCTCTGGTTCTGTCAAATTCTAATGTACTGAGCTTGGATATATAACCTTGCATGTATGTAACATTCAACTGCAAAACCTTTAGAATTTATCTCAGGACTGCAGGCCTGAGTTAGACAATAATCAGACAATAATGACTTTGGCCAGATCACTAAACTTATGTGGGCAAGTCAGTTTCTTCATCTGTAAGATAAAAAAGGTTTTCTTTATGCTCTGAATTCTGGAGTTTACCATTTGTTTCCCACACAGATGTTTTTGCCATGACCTCTCATCTACTGATTTGCTATCTTTTTGTCAAGGTTTATTAAATGTTCCCCAAACCCAGAAACCCACACTGTTTTATTTCTTTATTCAGCTCCTATTATAGTTTTGGACTGTTCAATTTATCACTTTACTATGGGCTATAATTCTAACTGTTTGATATACATATCTTTATTTCCAAGCTTGGAGACATATGATAAAGGTTCAGGCTTTATCTATTTCTTCTCTTATTATCCTTGTCATCACACAAAGTGTATAGTAGATGCCCAATAAATCATTGAAGATTGGATGCCATGTTTTGAGAAAGGTTATCTACAGAAGACACACTGAATAGGATCAATCTCATTAACTTAGTTACGAATTGTTCATGTTAAGCCATTTATTTCCTGGGGAGATAGGTATGAAATATGTTAACTTAAGCTATTCACATATCAATAACAGCTCCAGAATGAATAAATTCTAGTTGCTTTTAGAAGCAATTAATCCAGTTGAATAGGTCAAAGGAAAATGAATGTATTGAGCTACCTTATGCATTTCAGAATTTCCTTGCCTTTGGTAATTATTTGGAAACTCATATATACAATATTGATATATGTGCATATAAGCACATGTACATATGTATAAATATATACATGCACCATTCATATAAAACAAATTAAATTCTTTCACCAAAATAGTAAAACTTGATGGTCTCTTTAACTCTTTAATGAGGGATGCTATTCCTGATATAAAATTGCACATATTTTTTTTGTACAAAAATTTCTGTTTCATTCTGTTCAGCTGCTCTAATAAAATACTTCAAACTAGGTGGCTGATAAACAACAGAAATCTATTTTCACAGTCTTGGAGGCTGGAAAGTCCAAGGTTAAGGCAGTAGCATATYTGGTGTCTAGTGAGGGCTACTTCCTGATTCATGCATGGTGCCTTTCAGCCATTGCTTCATGTGCAGAAAGGAACAAAAGAGCTCCCTCAGACCTCTTTTACCAGGACTTGTCCAGTCATGAGGCTCTGCCCTCACCACCTCATCATCTCATAAAGGCCTCACCTCCTAATTCCATCAACTTGAAGATCAAGATTTCTACCTAGAAAATTGGGAGGAACAAAATTGGATCATAGCACTGCCGGCTAAGAACTGTGAGGGGTCTAAGTTTTTATGCTGTGTTCAAGCTAGCTGTTTGCAGTTCAGCTTGCCATTTCCAGTAGAGTCAGCTACAAATAAAGTTCTCACTTTGAGTGAGTAATTAAAAAGAAAAAAGATCTTACAGTGACAATGGACATGAGACTCCTACGTCTGAGAAAAAGTTCTTTTTTATTCTCAGGAGAACAAGTAGCATAAGCATTAGCATACCTGGTTCTGTTCTTCTGGCCACATGTCCATAATGGAAATTAAGAGGGTCTCCACAGGCAACACATGCATTACAGGAGAAGAACCCCCACATTTAGGGCATCTGAGTCTTTTACAGTTTATGGGATATATGCTTCCTCCTACTCCAGAGAAAGACACTGTCTTTATTATGTTGGGTAATAAGTATGCCTGACCCTTGCTCCAAAGGAACACAACTATCACTACATTCCAAGACTGTTTGCAATACAAGCATCTTTGAAAACATGATCTAAAATAAAGGGCAGTGAGTGCTTAGTTTCATAAGAAGAACTGAAATGCAAGCCATCATGGACAGTTATCTTCCACAAAACTCATGTATGATTCTAAATAAGAAGTAGATTAGAAATAATTTCCGAATCATTCTATTAAAGTGGCTTTCCTTAAGTGACACAAAGTGACAAAATCCTTCTCTATGTGAGGCAGGAATTTGATCCTAAGGTCAAATCAGAAGTTTTTCAACATTGGGCACAATGATTGAACAAAATAAAAAAAGAAAAGAAAGAAAGAAAGAAAAAGAAAAAAGAACTTCCACCTAACTGGGAAGGGCACAGTGGTTTGAGCAGCTGTGTGACTATTTGCTTCCTGGAGCTTGTGCGTCTGACAGGAATGGAAAGGTCCTGGTGGCAACAGTCATCAGGGCCATTATCCTTGTTTGGAGGGTAAGACTTTGCTTTGTAACACCTGGCACGGATTCATTGGGAACATAGGGACAGCCGTTTTGTCCTGAGCCTCTTGTTGTGTTTGTGAATCTGGACAGGGAGTTGAGTCCTGGCCATTGACACTCAGATATGCTAGATCAGTAAAATCTAAATAAACCATTGTTTGAGCATGAGCTGGACCTTTGGGGAGCAGCAGATGGTTGGTAATCTCTTATTTGCCTGTTCCAGGCCCAGAAGGAAGAACATGGGAATTTGGTCAATACTCATTTACATCTCCAGCATCCCATATGATTACTGTGATTAATATTGTTTCCTTCCATGTATTCCATAAAATATTTTAAGTTGTCCCTAGAGAGGGAAGAAATTCTGAATGCAGAATTTGCTGCAACTTCTCACTGTGAATTCTTTGATGGGAGGTGGGGAAAAGGTTAAAGAGATGTTTTCTAAGTGTTGAGCTGCATCATTATAGTGTGAGTTTAATTTTTAACCTAAACTGTTCTATTTTCCTAATATCTTATAAAAAAATCAGCTAAAGATTGCTTTCCTCTTTTTAATTTTTTTTTCAGTGACTTATAATGCATCTTTGGATGCTATCATTTCCAGTACAACCAGCAATACAAATACTGTGGTGCTGGCTTGGAGAGAGAAATCAAAAAAGCATCTTAAAATTACATCCTTCGACATTGCCCAGGGCGTTCATGCTTTTGATTACCACTCTCGGCTCAATTTAATTGGTATGTAAAATAAATCATGATAACTATGAGGGCCTCATAAATAGTCTAGAATGCATATTTGTATGCACGGAGCCTCTCTACCTTGTTGCTTTTATTGCCAGAGAGACCAACTTGAACAGCTCATATTTTATTGCCTGAGAATGTCTGATAATGATGCATTATTATGTGTGGTGTATATAAACTACATTGGGGTGAAAATATGAAAAAGTACCCCAACGCTTTGAGTGTTTTTTATTAGAATTGGTGGGGGGTGCATAATGATATAGACAAAGAAGACAATTTGTGCAACATCTGCCATTCTGCTATCCTTCTAACACCACCAAATGTTGCACCCAAATACATCAGTTTCATTGCACAACACACACACACACACACACACACACACACACACACACACACACTGCTAAATAGAGAACTGCAAAATGCAGAATGTTTTTCGCTTGCCGTTTGGGAATACAATTTTTGAAAAATTGAGCTTAGCTTTAGTTTACTAAGGAAGAGTTCTTTTGACATAAATAGTATATTTTAGGAAATATGAAGGCTTTCAGATATTAACTATTTAAATAAAATACCTAGACATTCTGAAGTTGATATTTGATATATGTTAATGTTCAAACATTATAAAAATGTGAGGTGAATATGTATTGTTTAAAAATTGACAAATTAGTTATTAAGAATGTTCATGGCCTAGAGGTTATATTAGTCCTCATTCATTAGGTATCATTCATCAAAAAAAACATTGACATTAGCTATTGGATTCCTAAAATTCCCAACAATACTAGCTGACAATCATGATAAAAAGTACCATGAATGTCAACACAAAATCTAAAAGGAGTATTATAGATATATTATAGAGGGCTGAGGGGGGTGGTTGATGAATCGATTTGCAAGGATTCAAATATCAACCATTTAACTTATTAGCTGATTAGTTATTCATTTTCCTGTATATTTGATCACTATTTTCACTTGCCACAGTGCTGGAAAAATAAAGGTGAATAAGCTCAGCTCCACAGCTGATCCTAAAGTGGGAAACAAAAGAGAGTGTTACATTGTTTCCACCCACCTGAATAAGTATTATACCTCTTGATCTTGAACTGCTCCCCGAATATAACCAACTCATATTCACAAATACTTTATTTTACCAAGAAAATAGGACAAACATACATTTGTGATGCTAGTTTTCTTATATATTCTTGATTATTTCATTAGTTGTGAAAATAATTTCTTCCTTCTATTTTATTAATTTGTGAACTTCCAATGTTGCCCTAGTCTGTTCTTGCTCCTGGATAGCTCCAACACTGTCTACACTCCTAGGCAGCCCAGTTTGAAGAGAGGGAACTTCAGGATTAGGAAGGATTCTGTCCGCTGCTGGGGAAGGCTGCTGGTTGGCTCCTAAGTTGTACCATATTTTCCCTTTCGGCTCATGCACATCCCTTTCTGCTAGGCAAACCCTTTTTCTCCTGCTCCTCCATTTCAACCATTTTTATTGCCAGGGCTCATAGCTTGGTCTAGTTGCCTATTTTAGTTAGGCAATGGCAAGACTTTCCTTCCTTCAAGACAAGGAAGGGTGCTTTGGTGTTCATTAGAAGGCAGTTACTAACATAGATATGTGTAAACTCATTCAAAAAAAGAAAGGTTATTCATGCTATTTTTTTTTTTTACTTTTTTTTTCTTTTTAATTCTGATTAGCAACTGCTGGCATTAACAATAAAGTTTGCCTTTGGAATCCCTATGTTGTTTCTAAACCAGTTGGTGTCCTTTGGGGTCACTCAGCCAGTGTAATAGCTGTCCAGTTCTTTGCTGAAAGAAAACAACTTTTCAGCTTCTCCAGAGATAAAGTAAGTAATATTGTACAATTAATTTAGTTCTGCCTTCCCAATGCCTACTGAAAACTCTCAAGGGGCCTGAATTTCTCTGAGAGCTGATGTTAATTTTTAAAATACATTGACTAACTACTATGTCTTTGGAAATCTATATTTTAAAAAAGTGTTGATTGATGGTTATTTAAAAATAGTTCTTTGGTAACTACACAAGTATTTCATTAAAATCTTGTTCAAACCAAGAACTGACTCATGGATTTAATCCCTTTTGTTGGACTCTCAATATGTCACATTTTAAGAGTTTTCAAATTTCTCACTAATTCAAAGAAAAAAAAATGGGGACAATTTTTGTCTTATTGAAATGTTGTTAGATAGTACAGTTAAATAGGTATAGCCAGTGGCTATTGTTGCTTTGATACAGAAGTGATTTAATAAAATAGAAATTAATGCTAATCTGGAGAATATGAAACACATTTCAATTATACTCAACAATTCTTTTCTATTTGATGGTTTTGATGGGATGTTTTTATTTGTATTTCTGGGTGCTGGGAATTAAGCCCATGGCCTTGCCCATCCTAAGCACATGCTGTACCACTAAACTGTACCCTAAGCCCTTGAAAGGATATTTTAAATATTGTGGAAAAAGTATGGCACCAGAGCTGTATAGTCCAAGTTGAATTCTGGGCACACTATTTTGCTGTATGTATCCACTTAAGTCAATTTTTTAATCTCTAAAAATATTATCTTTAATGCTTCTRTAAAATTTCCATTTTGTATAATTCTTGACTTAAGGATCCAATTAAAAATGTGATAGATTTCAAGATACTTGTTTATGGTAAGAAAAGGGGGTGATAAGTTTAGTGGGGAAAGTCCCTGAGACTCTGGATTTTTGTTCTATGCTAAAGGGTACACACACACACACACACACACAAGCATATAAACACACACATATATGAACATATACATGTGCATACACATATATAGTATAAATTTAATACGTGTAAATTAATGTTTAAATATACAAATATGTGTAAATTATATATACATATTTATATGGAAATTCACCTTCAACTCCTTAGCCACACCTAAGCCAAAAGTCCTACTAAACTTACTGTTTCACTCTGTTACTTATCATATAAACCTTTTCCCTTTCCCTTCCATTTTACYAATAAATCTTCAATTCCTGCTGATTCTACCAACAAGACACATTTGTCAGTCTCCCATCTCCATCTCAGCTGCCATTGCTCTTATTATAAATGTTGACTTGTTTCCTGCAAAACACTGCAGTATTACTAAAATGTCTGCTGACTTTAAGACTGGTTTGACTCCAGTCTGTCCTCAGTTCTAATAGTAGTTTGCAAGACAAAAGTTTTCATGCTCTTATATCTATCCTCCATGTATCAACTCTAAAATTCTTAAACTTTCATAAAAAGCTCTCCTCCTGTTTTCCAGTCCTATTTCACTTCCTGCTTTTCTCTTTCATTTATTTAGTGCTGTAGAACTCCATCAAACAGCTGTTCCTGCCATGCACTTTCTTGGCTTAGCAACATGCTCTTCTGTCTTTAGTCCCCTCTCTTCCATTAACTGACATGTGCCATCTATCCTCCAGGCTTCGGGCATTTTGGAGTCTCTCCTGGAGACTTTCTCTCCATGCACTCTGCTGCATGTGTCCTTGGAGCGTTTGTGATGCTGTGCTTAAAGTGGTAGAGTGCTTCCTTAACCAGGGTCAGGATCTTTTTGGCTTGTATTCTTGGTGTCTCACTGTGCTGAACACCTGTAGTGTTTATTCGGTGATTATTTGTTGACCACTTGAAGTGAAGGCACATTACAGTGAACAATAGTAGTGAAGAAACTCAAAGTGAAAACTTTTTATGATATCCTAGTTAAATCTACTTGTGCCTTTTAATTTAAAACCTGTCAGCACAATTGTCTTAACTTTCATTATTGAATTTGCCATCTAACTTGTATACTGGAGCATTGTGTATGTACATTGTACCTTTCATTAGATTTTGATTGCTTGAAGGCAAGGATCATTTGTTGAATTTATTTTTGTGTTTCCCAGGATCTAGCGAGTATTAGTGTGTTAAACACATGTTGAATATAATATATGAACTAATGTACTGTTAACAAAATGATAGGATTCATGAAATTAGGAACTCTGTTTTACTTGGATTGCRTCATATGCATACAAGGTCCTCAATAAATCATAATTAAGTGGATGAATCATTATCAAACATAAAAATGAAACAAATACCAGATATTTTACCATTAAGAGTTCCCCGAAGAAAGGTTTTATAACTTTAAAAGCAAGTGAAAACAATGTCCTTAGAGTCAAAATTGATTGTGAACAGCTGACATCAACTTTAAGACCACCTAGCCTCTTTTGAAAGTAGTTCTGTCCTTCTGTTTTTGGTTTGACTTATGAACCATTACATCATAATAAAGCTTGTCATGCTGTCATTCACATTAGTCTGAATCCATTACACTTTGATAAATGCATGATAATCTCAGTTCTTATGTCTTTACAATGAAGCACAGAGCTTTCTGCTGCCCGGTTAAACCTCTGCTTTATTGCTATAAATTAATTTTTTTTTTAATAGGACTAGAGGTAAGTGAGAGAACAGGGAAAATGAAAAAGCATTCTTTTTCAAACAGCCTTTGATTGAATCAGGTTTTGGTTGAAAAGTTGCTCAATTAGAGGATTTGTAGACCAAAGAAATTTGGATCTAAAATAATTTCTTCCAAAAATGATCTGAGACTTTAGATCTTTTTTTGGAAGATTGTTCTATCGCCACTTCCCAGTGATGATTAAATAATGTTTATTTCTAAAGAACTTGGTGTCATGAATAACAGCCCAGTTGCACTATATTTTGGAATCCTAAGCAGATTCTCTTAATGGCAGTCACTGGTGGCAAGGCCCTGCTGGGAGTCAGTAATGTGGCCAATTGAAGGAGGAACCATCAGGGGACTGAAAGCATTTTCAAGGCCCAAGAGGAATCGCTCTGCTGGAGTCTAACATTCCAATCAATGAGCTGAAGTCAGCTTTTCTATTACTCCTAACTCCTGGGCTACTAATCCTGATTTGGCCACCAGAATCAGATCAGTTTGTAACATAATCCTTTGTTTGAGGTTCTGATTTTTTCCAAAGCCTGGTGTCTATATTGTAGAACTGTGGTTGGCAAAGAAAATACAAAGCCAGACTTTGGTGTTGGTGATTGCATTGTACCTATTTGTCTTCTTCCCTCCACACAGCCCTCTACCCCAATTTCTATCACCCATCCAGAAGCTAAGTATTTTCATCTTGTTTAAATTGCATGAATAAAGGGATTGATTCTCCCCCATAAATGTTACATTCTTTTTATTTTATTTTATTTTTGCAGTACTAGGATTAAACCCAGTGACTCACACATGCTAGGCAGATGCTATACCACTGACTAAGCTATATCCCCAGCCCACCTCTAAAGATTAYAATGATGAGGACGCATATAGTGCAAAAAGTGAATATTTTTCTTTTTCATTTCCCCTTCAAGTCAATTTCTCTCTCAAGAAATAATTGATAGTTGATGTACATCTTCTCACATTGTTACTGAATACTTAATGCATTGTTATATACATTGTCCTTTGTGTKCGTACAAAAGAAAAGTATTTATTAGTTTTTTATGTAAATGGAATCACATGAAATATACTTTTCTTCAATTACTTTCTCCTAAGTAACATCTCTTGGATAACATTCTGTGTGAATATACATAAACCTTTTTTTTAAACTACATAGTATTTTATAATATGGATGGCCATGGTTCAATTATTCAATCATCTATGGATTAAAATATATAGTTCCTAAGTCTTTAGTGATTCTCTCTCATACACACACACACACACACACACACACACACATTCACACACAGACATTTACACATTTTTAAGACCTCATAAATTAATTTCTTTGTGATAAATTTCTAGAAGTGATGCGATTGGATCAATAGGCATGTGACTTCTTTTATAGGATTTTCTTATATATTGCCTATTCAGTGTAGAAGTGTTGACCAACTGACATACTTGTCAGAGGTGTTTAAAAGTGCCTGTTTCCCCATGTTCTTTTCAAGAACGGAAACCATCAGTGTTKATTTATTTATTTATTATAAATCTGAAGGGCAAAATATTAGCATGAATTTGTTTTTCAAATATTAATTTATATTTCCTGATTTTAATGCATTAATTGATCGTGAACTTTATCTTATTTTAATAAATTTGACTATCTTCCTACTGATTTGTAGTAGCTTGAAAAATTTTTGATCAGCTTTTATTAGAATATTTTACCTCTTTCAAGCATACATTTTAAAACTTTATGTGACTTTGTTCATTCAAAAGTTTTTAATTTTTGTGAAATTGAGTCAGAAATGGTTTTCTTTGTGGATCTGGATTTTGTGTCTATCTTTGGAATGTCTTCCATAATGCTTCCATTTGTAAGAGTRTCCTTCTTTATTTTCTGTTAACACTTTATACCAGTAATKTTTTAAAAATTTAACTTGGCAATTTATTTTTGTGTAAAGATWTTTTTTTCTTCTGTAAATGGCTATCCAAGATAATTTATGAACAGTCTGTCTTTTCTACTGTTTTAAATTGGCATTGTTATCATCTGAATTACTCTATGTACATGAATTTGTTTTATATACTTTATTCTTTACATTTACCAACTTATTTTTTTCACACACAATACACATCCTACAGTTTAACTACTATAATTTAACTCAATATTCTGATACCTGGTAGGTCAATTTCTACTTAGTGTTCTTCTTTTTCAACTTTATCCTCTAGCATTTTATTCTTTCAAGTAAATTTTAGGATCAATATTTATGTTCCATGAAAAATACTATTAGTATTCAGACTGGAATTTCATTGAGTTTGGTGATATTTGACAGYTTTAAAATAGTGAGAAAGCACATCCAGTATTTTCCCATTTATTTATTTATTTGCTATCTCTCTGAAAACATTGTGTTTTCCCACCCATTTCTTTGTTC